TGAGGGGCTGCCCTAAGGCACAACAGAAGTATGTTCGTATTTTACACTGTTCTTTTTTTCAGGGTGAAATAATATTGCTATTGCTATTTTCTCTAATCCACACAGAGCCAAAAGTATGCATACTCCTCCACACATACTCACCCAAATCTTCTAATAAGCTCTGCTAAAGGTTACGCAATGTCTTTTAATGTGACAAGGCCAAATTCTATCAACTTGTTAGTGATCGTGCTTGACTACAACTGGTAGTTTCTCTTTGCCATCATAAAAAGGATTTGTGTGACATCACTCATTGGACTGACTAATATTCAGAACAATGGAAAAGTCCAAGGAAGTCAGTGAAGATGTAGGAAAGAGAACTGTCGAGTTACACAGGTTGGAATGGTCTCTTGGAGCCATTTCTAAACAACTGCAGGTTCCAAGTTAATCAGTGAGTACAAGTAATTCTGATGTGTTACCACTTTGTGAAGGTCTGGACAAGACCCAAACTGTCACCCTCAGTGACAGGAAGTTGGTTAGAATGTTCAGGAATAACCCAGGAACCACAAAAACTCGAGCCTGCAAAGAACTGGAAACTGCCATCACATGGACTAATAACATGCTTACAAAGAAAGAAGCGGACAAACCAAATGCCATCTGGAGACAAGGTTGATGGGTCATATGAGACGAAAATTAAGCGTTTTTGGCCACAGTGACAGGACTCCCAGCAAATTCTTCAACTTCACCTCAAATCAACAGGGAGACAGTTTAGACTTGGAAGTACCAACAGGAAAATGATCCCAAATACATCAAAACTGGTTTTCAGATCCATAAAGTAATCCATGAAAATTTGTGAATTAATCTTAAAAGTTGGGTCCAATCCATGAAACCAACCAACTAAATGAACTCTGCCAATTCTGCTAAAAAAGATTGGTCAAATATCCAACCAGAATTATGCACAAAGCCTATTGATGGATACCAAAAGGATCTCTCTGAAGAGGATTTTGTGGATGTGTTTATTGGCACTTACCATGTTTACATCAATCTGACTCCACTGTCTTTACAGAGTGTTCTGTTTCATATTTTAATATCAATTCTGAACTTCTTAAATAAATATTCCCCTGACAAATATCATGCCTATTATTGTAATGAAAACAAGACTAAAACTAACCCCAAACTAAATGTGAAGATTGCACTTTTAGCATAGAAACAGGTCTGAATTTCAGCTGTTTGTAGAAAGTTTTCTTACTGTGGACTGATGAACAGAAACATCTTTGGTTTTGTAGTCTCCAGCTTTGTTCGTCTCTGTAATGTTTTTTCGGAAACTTGCGGTTTAACTTTGTGACTTTGCATGCATTTATCTTACAAGGATTTGAAGGGATAAATATCTTTGTTATTCTATCTTGTTAACTTGTCTCATTCGGAGTATCTTTTGGAGAAATCATTACTGAGGTATAGATGCTGACTTACTCTTTCCAGCTTGGACTTGCAGCTTGTAACTTAATGTGTTTAATAAAGACATCCATCCATTTTCTTAACAGCGTATTCAGGTTGCCAGTCTATCTCAGGGCTTCATAAAGACATGAAAAATGTGCTATTAGTTTGGTCCCGTTGTGACTGTCTATAATTTTACAAGACGTCAGAGCAGAAATCTCAGTAAAGGGTTCACAAATCATTTATGCAGTCGTACAATGGTACAAGTTAAATGTGTGGTTTGGAGGTTTATGGTGCAGTTTTACAATCCACTCCAAGTTGTTTGGGATTCATTATGTGTGCAGTTCGAAAACACCATAAACTGGCTGCTAGCTCCCCACACAGCTTTGTTTTTTATGTTATCCTGTGCATTTTCTTATTGGCTGCAGTTTTCCTAATAAAGGTTTTACCATTCTTAAGAGAAAGTGTACTTTACATATTTTATAAAACCCTATTGTGAAACTGCGTGTGCATTTGTGTGTGTGTGTGTGTGTGTTTTCAAAGACCTGAAATGAACTCATTTTTTCACAGATGAGTAAGACCAGTACTACTTGTAGACAGTGCATTTTAGCTATTAATACCTCAGCATAATTTATTTAAAAGAATTTAATTTTCTAACTGTCTGTAGTACATGACTTCAATTCGGTCTCACTCTGGGTACTCCAAAGAATCTGAATAGAGTACTGAATATATAGCATGACCACCTTTATTCTTCAGCACAGCCTGAACTCTCACAGGCAGCTTTCTTTCTTTAAGTAGTCTTTAGGAATAGTTCTCTGGGCTTGATGAACATTCAAGGCCCTTCTTTGGATGATGGTTGCTTTTTGTTCTGTACTCTGTGAAGAAGATCCCACACTGCTTCAATAATGTTAGGATCTGGGCTCTGGGGAGACCAGTCCATGACTGATAGTGTCCCACTGTGTGACTCTTTCCAGATGGTAATTCATGATGGCCTCTTGACAGCCACCCTTCCACTGATACCATTTCTGTTGAGGCTTTTGTGAACAGTGGATGAGCTGAATGACCAAATACATCTCTCAGGTCCTTGCTGGATTTAGTTTCCTATTTCTAAAGCACATGACCTTTAGACCTCTGTTCATCTTCTGGGATGGCCCTATGTCGGAGAAGAAGATTTCCCTCTGAGGAGCTGCTGGTGAAGATCATGAGTCCTGCTTGATCCCTGCAATGAACGTCAGTTTTCCCGATGTTTCTGAAATGATTGGTTTCAAATGGTTACAGTGTGCATGAATGTTTCATTTTTGTTTTATGTAATTAACACTGTTATATCACATAAAACAAAAATATGTGTAGCAACCTTTCTTGAGTGACATTTCGTGTTCTCTTGGGGGACCCCCCTGTTGGTGTGTGTGTGTGTGTGTGTGTGTGTGTGTGGGGGGGCGGGCTCTGCCAGCTTATGCCCAGGTCTGGTTCTGGTAACAAGGGTGAATTTGTGAGTTAAACATGCCCAAAATTTGAAATAGTGATGTCATCTTATGTAAAAATAAAATAAAATAAAATCTCTGTGACGCAAAACTCAAACTTCAGGCTGCTCTAAACATTCTGTGTCCGGCACTTTTTTCTACTCTTAGATCTCTATGACATCAACGAAAGATGACACCCTTATATGGTCATCACAGACACAGCAACCCCACCCAACTGCTGCTAAAAGCTTCTGCTTGAAGGAGGCAGCCAATCAGAAGAAAGTTGTCTCAAAGAGAGAGATTGGCTTGAAAAGCTTATTTCACAGAGTGGATGAAGTGAGGGGCTGCCCTAAGGCACAACAGAAGTATGTGCTTCGTTCCTGATTTCTTAGGTTTTAGCTTACGTGTTTTAGATCATCAAGCCAATTTGACAAACATAACCTGACTGAATAAAAAAATGCAGTTTTAAAAAAATTATTTAATTTATTAGTGGAAAAAAGAATTATCCAGATCTACCAGGCTCTATGTGAAAAATGAATTGCTCCCTAAACCTAATAACTGGTTGTGCCACCCTTGGCAGTAAGAACTGCAATCATCCGTGTGTGATAACTAGCAATGAGTCTGTCACATTGCTGTGGAGGAATTTTGGCCCACTCTTCTTTGCAGATTTGCTTTAATTCAGTCACACTCGAGGATTTTTGAACATGAAAAGCCTGTTTAAGATCATGCCAAAGCATTTCAATCTGATTTAAGTCCGGACTTTGACTCAGTCACTCCAAAACCTGAAGCACCAGACCGCTGTGTAAGTTTTACACCAGATGTAACAGGACTCACACCTTCCAAAAAGTTCAACTTTTGTCTTCAGAATATTTTCCCACAAGTCCTGGTGATCATCACGATGTTTTTGGCAGATGTGAGACAAGCTGTCATGTTCTTTGTGGTTAGCAGCGGCTTTCTTCTTACTCTCCCATGGATACCATTTCTGCCCAGTCTTGTTGAATCACAAACTCTGACCTTAAGTGACACAGCTGAGGCCTGCAGTTCAGATTTTATTCTGGGTTCTTTTGTAACCTCCTGGATGAGTCGTTGATGCGCTCTTGGAGTAACTTTGGCAGGTGGACCACTCCTGGGAAGATTCTGCAATGTTCCAGGTTCTCTCCATTTGTGGATAATGACTCTTACTGTGGTTCACTGGAGTCCCAAAGTCTCAGAAATGGCTTTATAACCCTTTCAGGACTGATAGA